ATGGGCAAAGGACCTAAATAGACACCTTTCAAAAGAGGACATTCAGAAAGCCAAGAGACATATGAAAACATGCTCAAAGTCACTAATCATCCGAGAGATGCAAATCAAAACAACAATGAGGTACCATCTCACACCTGTCAGACTGGCTATCATCAACAAATCAACAAACGACAAGTGCTGGAGAGGATGTGGAGAAAAAGGAACACTTGTGCACTGCTGGTGGGAATGCAGACTGGTGCAGCCACTATGGAAGACAGTATGGAGTTTCCTTAAAAAACTGAAAATGGAACTCCCATTTGACCCTGTGATCCCACTTCTAGGAATATATCCCAAGAAACCAGAAACACCAATCAGAAAGGATATATGCACCCCTATGTTCATAGCAGCACAATTCACCATAGCTAAGATCTGGAAACAGCCTAAGTGCCCATCAGTAGATGAATGGATTAGAAAACTGTGGTACATCTACACGATGGAATACTATGCTGCTCTAAAAAGGAAGGAACTCTTACCATTTGCAACGTCATGGATGGAACTGGAGAGCATTATGCTAAGTGAAATAAGCCAGTCAATGAAGGAAAAATACCACATGATCTCACTCATTCATGGATAATAGAGACCATTATAAACTTTTGAACAATAATAGATACAGAGGCAGAGCTGCCTCAAACAGATTGTCAAACTGCAGCAGGAAGGCCGGGGAGGGTTGCGGGGCAGGAGGTAGGGGGGTAAGAGATCAACTAAAGGACTTGTATCCATGCATAGAAGCATAACCAGTGGACATAAGACATTGGGGGATAGGGGAGGCTAGGGGACTGTCTAGGGCGGGGGGATAAAATGGACACATATGTAATACCCTTTGTAATACTTTAAGCAATAAAAAAAAAAAAAAAAAAAAAAAAAAAAATGACCTTTCTTTTCCAAGGTAATTTTTTCTTCACTCCTGTTAGTCTCCTAGTGGTTCCTTGTCTCTCAGCAAGACAGAAAGGAAAAGATAGAGACAGAAAGAGAGAGAGAAAGCTAGAGATACAGACAGAGAGACAGACCAATGAGGGAGACAGACACAGGAAGACAGAGAAAGACAGAAACAGAAAGACAAAGAGAGGGAGAGAGAGACCGAGACAAAAAGACATACCCATAGAGAGATAAAGGAAGAGGCAGAGATAGAGAGAAAGAGAGGAGAGTGTGAGGGTTGTGGGAAAAGGCTCCCTGGCGATCCAGAGCTCATGTTTGAAGTCAGCAAACCTGTATTCAATGCCCATACATACTAATTTTGCAACATAGCAAAGAAATTTAATCTCCCTGGGCCTTTGCTGCTTTTGTCCTATTTTTCTAGGAGTGGGGTAATATATTTGGGGGGTAAATATTACACAAGGTAGGTAGTTTGCAAAAAATCCCTGACACCTATTGAAAATTCTCAAGATCTTAATTTTTCTGATGGAAGCAGGGCCGCTGCAGAGGTTGGAGACTGGGTATGTTTCCATGCAGGGGTGACTCGAAGCTCACAGTCTGAGTGCAAGGTGATCAGGATGAAGGTGTCTGGGTGGAATGCACCTCGACAGGCTAGTACCCAAAGCCCGAGTGGAGTGGAGAGAGATCAGGGGCCAGAACCTGCCTTCTGTGACCAATCCCTCAGCTTCGGCAACAACCAGACTCTGGGCTGTGGCGTCCGTGTTGCCCTCCAGCAGGACAGTCTGAGGGCGGCCTCTCCTGTCTATCTCTAGCCCCTTGTCTTGGAGAGGAAGGTGCCGAAGCCTGGTGCCTGGTGAGTGTTCTGTTCGGTTCTTGCCTCAGAAGTGCTGAGTGCGGCACTCATTCCCCAAGGTCCTGGGACATGAGAAGGGAGCCAACGCTTGTCCGGGGAGGGGACTGTGACTGGTCCCATCCATGGCCTGGCCAGGAGGTGTGTAGACACACAGTTTTGGGTGCTGATTACTGAGTTGGAGCAGAGAAGGAGTGTACAGGGAGCCCCCCGAGGACGTTGCCTTCCAGTAGCAAGAACGTTTAATCTCAATATTAACTTTTTAATGTTTTTTTAGTAGGCTTTAATTTTTAGAGCACTTTTAGGTTTGCAGCAAAATTAACATGAAGGTACAGAGATTTCCCATCCACACATAGTATGGGAAATCTCCACTGTCAGCATCTCCCACCAGAGTGGTGCATTTGTTATATCTGATGAACCCACATGGACCAGCGTCCATTGTTTACATTACTAGGTTCAGTCTTGGTGTTGTGCGTTCTGTGGGTTTGGACAAATGGATAATGACGTGTATCCAGCATTGCAGTATCATAGAGTAGCTTCACTGCCTGAAAATCACCTGTGCTCCCACAATTCATCCCTCCCCTCCACCAACCCCTGGCAACCACTGATCTTTTTCTGCCTCCTAGTTTTTGCCTTTCCCAGAACGTCAGATAGTTGGATTGTACAGTATGTGGCCGCCTCTGATTGGCTCCTTTCACTGAGCAATACACATTTGAGTTTCCTCCATATCTTTTCATGGCTTGATAGCTGATTTCTTTGTAGTGCTGAATAACATTCCCTCACGTGATGGTACATGGACCCATTCCCCTACTGAAGGAATTCTTGGTTGCTCCCAACTTTAACTTTGTATAAAATTTTCATTTCTAAATTATTTCATATATACATAAAATTTGCAAGAACAACACCCAGGATTCTGTGCACCCTACATCCAGATGCGCCCATGTGCAGCATCTGCCTCCTGTTTACCGGCTTCCCCACAGCGCACTCACTCTCTCCTGTGCATTTGTCCAGACCTGTCTATACAAAGGCACACATATGCTTTTCTGGACCATCTCAAAGCAGTTAGTGAACCCGACCCATGAACCCTGTAGCATCTCCGTGTTAAATACACCAAAACTCTCCTCCCGTATCCCTGGCAATCCCTGTTAGCTCCCACTTCCAGAAAATCCCATCCCCTGTGTGGAACAGCCCTGCTCTGACTCTCGCTTCACCCACCTGTTCTGCACGTGGTACCGGGAAAAGGATCGGAAGCGGCAGGAAGAAGGGAGAGTGCCTGGAGCCAGCAGGGAGGGCGATAGGCTCCTCCACAGCCTAACCCCTCAGTCTCCCCTGCAGACTCCCCTCCCCCTGTAAGGACCCCCTCCCCGCACCCTCCCCTGCAGTGGGAAGGGCTTAAAATGGAGACGTCAAATAAATCTTTGGATAAGCAAGTATAGAGATCCAAGTAGCATTTGGGACTGGAGATAGAAATTTGTGGCCAACTGCATACATCTCTCATTTAAAATCATGAAAGTGGCTAATATTTGGGATGTTTCTATACTATCTGCTCAAATTATCTGTAAATCTAAAATTGTTCTTTAAAAAATACCCACTAATTTCTTTTGCAAAGGAATATTGTTTAGGGGCGGGACAGAGAAAGGTACAGCATAAAGAAAATCCAAGATCTGGAGTTGGAGAACCCCATACTGAAAGGTCTGGAGAAGCAGGATGACTCCTAGAGTCAGGGGGGGAAACAACAAACAAACAAAACAAAAAACAGGCAGAGCCGTGGGAGGCACAAGGAGGTACTGCACCAGGGAATCAGGATATAGTGTTGAGGGAGCTGCTGAGAGCAGAGGGGGATGTGGGCATAAAAAGTGACCTTGAAAAAACTGACAAGCGTGGTCAATGAAGGGAAGTGCCCTGTGGAGGGAAGTAGGTAGAAAATTTCAAAATTATTGTCTATTAGGCAGAGCTGAAAATTGGAGAGTGCACAATCAAGGTTTAGAATAGAAGGAGCCAGGCCAGGTGTCCGACCGAATGGAGATGGAGCGTGGGTGAGCTCCATCCCCAGGCCCAGACTCTACAGAAAAGGGGTTTGGGTGGGGAAAGAGATAATGTGGGCAGCAACATGGAGAATTTGGGGAGAACGCAGTCTTTGCTAGAAGGCCAGAAGGAGCAAGATTTCACTCTAGTCTAGGAAGTAAGGAGATGTTTGGGAGAAAGCTGGTTTTGTGTGTGTGCATGTGTGTGTTTTATTTTTTATATATGTTTAATTTTTCAATCACAGTTTACATTCATCAGATGTACAGCACACTGGTTAGAAAATCATGTGCTTTACAGAGTGGTTCCCCTGATGTTTCAAGTACCCACCAGGTCCTGTACGTAATTACTACAATATTATTGACTGTATTCTGTATGCGATAATTTACATCTCTGTGACTATTCTGTAACTAGCAATTTGTACTTCTTAATCCCTTCACTTTTTTTACCCAGCCCTCCAAAACCTCTTCCCTCTGACAACTGTCAGTATGTTCTCTGTATCTATGAGTCTGTTTCTGTTTTTTTATTTTATCTTTTAGATTCCACATATAAGTGAAATCATACGGTATTTGTCTATCTCTGGCTTATTTCACTTAGTACAATACTCTGAGGTCCACCCATGCTGTCACAAAGGGTAAGATTTCCTTCATTTATCTTTATTATTGAAAGTATTACAAGATTTTCTTCTTTATACATTTACCATTGTGTAAATGTACTGCAACTTTTTTATCCACTCATTTACCGATGGGCACTTGGGTGGGTTCCAAGTTTGACTATCTATAATAATAAAAGCAGAATATGCTAATTAGACCGGATAGCCGAACGACCTTCCTGACTTCCTTCCCAACGACCTTTCAGACTCTGGCCTCCGTGAGCCCACGGCCTCACCCCTGCGCCAGCCGCCAACCCTGTGCACTGTTCCAGGACCGCAGCGCAGCCCCCGCCTCTGCCAACTCTGCCTGCCCGGCGCTACCTTATACCCGGGCAGGCTCAGAGTTGTTCTTGCACACCCACAGGACCCTCCCCGCACCCGAGAGGGGCAAGGCACCCACTGGGTGGGAGTCGGTGGCAGTGGCAGAGGGCAGCGCTGGCGATAATAATAGCTCCTGTTTATCGACCGCTCACACTGTTCCAGGCTCTGTGTTGAACCCTTTGCGTGTGTTCATCCTCCCGTCAGCCCTGTGAAGTCGCCAGGATTGTTATCCTTGTTTTTCAGAGGCAGCATTTGAGATTCAGAAAGACCAAGCAACTTGCAGTCAGAAGGTGGTGAAGTCAAACAGAACCAGAATTTTCTTGACCCTACCTGCTGCTGAACATAAAGCTGTGACACCCACCGAGGCCTCGCCGATGTCAATAATCGCTCCCCAGTAGAAATAAAACAGCGGTAAAGAAGAATGGGAGAGTGTGGATGAGAGTGTGAGGGAAGCACTGGTGGGACACTGTATTTACTGCAGACGCCCTAGAGAGCGGGACAGTTCCCGGCGGTCAGTCAGATCAGTGCCCCAGAGGCCATCCAGGACCATGAGGGGGAAGGTTACCATCCAGAAACCCTCTCATTGTTTAAGGCAGAGGTTTTAATGTATTGTAGCTGCTAACTATTGTACAGCTGCCTGGAGATGCCCTCAAGTAATTAAAACTTAAGTTGTTGAAATCAAAATTTATTCTTTCATCCCCGTTATTGACCTTGGAAGAACTTTCGCTGGGGTGAAAAGAACCCGCTCCACGCTAGCCATGCACATGCGCATTCGCGTCTGGATGCAGCTCCACTCCATCCACTCCAGTGACCGCACCACCATCGACTGGTTTGCTTCAGCCAGAACCTCCAGATCATCTTTGACTGCACTTTAGCTTGACTTTAGGTGAATATAAATGTTTTCACTTTTTATTATGGAAAATGTAAAAATATAGATGAAAGGAGAAAGAACAGTGTAATGAACCCTACTCATATACCCATCACTCAGTTTCAACAATTGTCAATTCCTGGCCATAGTTTATTATTATTTGACAAATATCTATGATATATGAATCATGTACCAAGTTCTAAACTAGGTCCTAGGAATCCAAATATATATCAGGTTTGACTGTAACCCAACCTGGAGGATATAACATTTGGCCTTGGTCCTTGATAGGTGAATAAAACTTACCCAGAAAAAGAAAGTTTCCCTCATTCATTCATTCCCTTTCAACGAATAATTATTATGTGTGAGGCACTGTCCTTGGTGCTAGGAACACATAAAGAAACAAAATTGCGTTTCTTCCTTCTTGAAGCTTAAGTAATGGGAGACATTAAACATGTGATTAGAAATGTGATGAGTATCTTTTTTTAAAATATATTTTTATTGTTGATAGTATTACAGATATCTCCCATTTCCCCCCTTACTTCCCTTCTCCTAACCCCTATCCATCCCCTCTCCCCAGGTCTTCACTACTCTATTGCCCATGTTCATGGGCTATGCACATCTATATTAATAACCTATATTAATAAAAGGGTAATATGCTAATTAAGGTGGATGTCTTCCAGGCGTCCTTCCAGACAAAGCCGCAGCAGCTTCCCGAGGCTCAGGAAGGCCTCAGATGGCTGCCGCTGCGAGGGCCCGAGGCTCAGGCAACAAGGCCTGGGCCAAGGCTCAGGCAGCCATGGTGGCCGGCAGTGGCAGCAGCAGAGGCGTGATGGGGACATTGCCTTCCCCTGATCGGCCGGTTGCCTCCCATAGAGGGAAGCCAGACTGTGGCTTAGGCCCACTCCCTGTGGGCTCCCTGAGGGCTACTGGACTGTGAGAGGGGGCAGGCTGGGCTGAGGGATGCCCCCCAGTGCATGAATTTTTGTGCACTGGGCCTCTAGTCCTATCTACACTAATAAAAGACAAAGATGCTAATTGACTGTACCTTTGCTACACCCTAAGCCACGCCCACCAGCCAATCAGAGCAACTATATGCAAATTAACCCAACCAAGATGGCGGCCGGCAGCCACGGAGCTGGAGCAAGCAGGAGGCTTGGTTGCCCAGGCGATGGAGGAAGCCAAGCTTCCTGCCTGCCCTGAGCCGGCTGTGGCCTCTGCTCATGGCAACAAAGTTTCAATTATAGAAGATAAATAAATCCCAGATACCTGCTTCCAGCCAGCCTCCACTGGGAGCTTGGGTGGCTGGGGGTTGTGGCCAGCCTGAAGCCATCAGCCCCTCACTCAGGCTGGCCACACCCTCATGGGGTGAGGGTCCCTGCTGGCGGGCTTAGCCAGCCTTAAAACGGCCCTCAGCCCCACACCCTGACTGGCCAGGCACCCCAGCAGAGCCCCCCACCCTGAAGGGTGTGTGGCCAGCCTGCAAACAGCCATCAGCCCCTCACCCAGGCTGGCCAGGCATCCCAGGGGGACCCCCCCCCCTCGCCACCTTGTAGGGGCTGTGGCCAACCTGCAAACAGCCATCAGCCCCTTACCCAGGTTGGCCAGGCACTCCGATATAATAAAAGGGTAATATGCAAATTGATCCTAACAGCAGAAAGACTGGGAACGACTGCTCACTATGACACACACTGACCACCAGGGGGCAGTGCTCAATGCAGGAGCTTCCCCCTGGTGGTCAGTGCACTCCCACAGGGGGTGCTCTGCTCAGCCACAAGCCAGGCTGCCAGCTGCCAGTACAGTGGTGGTGGTGGGAGCCTCTCCTGCCTTCTCAGCAGCACTAAGGATGTCCGACTGCAGCTTAGGCATGCTCCCCACTGGCAAGTGGACATCCCCCAAGGGCTCCTGGGCTGCCAGAGGGATATCTGACTGCCAGCTTAGGCCCAATCCCCTGGGGAGCGGGCCTAAGCCAGCAGGTCGTCATCCCTCAAGGGGTCCCAGACTGTGAGAGGGCACAGGCTGGGCTAAGGGACCCTCCCCCCACCCCCCAAGTGCACAAATTTTTGTGCACCAAGCCTCTAGTATATAATAAAAGGGTAATATGCAAATCGACTCGTCGCTATGATGTGCACTGACCACTAGGGAGCAGATGCTCAATGCAGGAGCTGCCCCCAGCCTGCAGGCCCTGTTTGCCTTATCAGGCCCTGCTGGCCAACCTCTCGGTCCCTTCCCCCCTGGCCATAGGCTCTGATTGCCCAATGGCAAATGGGGAGCCAGGGGTGGGCAGCAGTGGGGGGCAGGGCCAGCTGCTGGCTTCCAGGGAAGATGGCCCTGATCTCAGGCCAGGCCTAGGGACCATACCTGTGCATAAATTTCGTGCGCCGGGCCTCTAGTTATAGATAATGCTGCAATGAACATAGGGGTGCATATATTATTTCGAATTGATGTTCTGGGTTTCTTTGGATATATTCCCAGAAGTGGACTCACTGGGTCATAAGGCAGTTCCGTTTTTAATTTTTTGGGGCATATAACTCTGTACTGTTTTCCACAGTGGCTGCACCAATCTGCATTCCCACCAATAGTGTACTAGGGTTCCCTTACTCCACATCCTCACCAGAACTTATTGTTTGTTGATTTATTGATAGTAGCCATTCCAACAGGTGTGAGGAGATAAATTTGCATCTCTGAATATTAGTGACATTGAGCATGCTTTCATTTGTCTATTGGCCATCTGTATGTCCTCTTTGCAGAAGTGTCTATTCAGGTCCTTTGTCAATTTTTTTTATTGAATTGTATGTCTTCCTGGTGTTGAGTTGTATAAGTTCTTTATATATTTTGGAGATTAACTCCTTAACTGATGAATCATTGGTGAATATATTCTCCCATAGTATGAGATCCCTTTTTGTTTTGTTGATGGTTTCTTTTGCTATGCAAAAAACTTTTTGGTGTGATATGGTGCCATTTGTTTATTTTTTCCTGTGTTTTCCTTGCCCTCTGAACCATATGGGCAAAAATATGGCTGTGAGAGATGTCTGAGATTTTACTGCCTCTGTTTTCTTCTAGGATTTTTATGGTTTAATGACTTACTAATACATTTAAGTTCTTAATCCATTTTGAGTTTATTCTTCTGTATGGTGTAAGGGTGGTCTATTTGCATTTTTTTTTTTGCATGTATCTGTCCAATTTTCCCAACACCATTTATTGAAGAGACTGTCTTTACTCCACTGTATGCTCTTACTTCCTTTGTCAAATATTAATTGACCAGAAAGGTTTGGGTTGATTTCTTGGTTTTCTGTTCTGTTCCATTGATCTACTGGTATATGCTTGTTATTATGTCAGTACCAGACTGTTTTGATTACAGTGGCTTTGTAGTATAGTTTTATATCCAGTAGTGTGATTCTGCCCAACTTTGTTCTGCAACTCAAGATTGCTGGGACTATTCAGGGTCTTCTTTGGTTCCCTATAAAATTTTGGAATGCTTGTTCTAGATCTGTGGAATATGCCATTGTTATTTTAATAGGGGTTGCATTGACTCTATAGACATTTTAATGATGCTAATTCTACCAATCCATGAACATGGTATATTCTTCCACTTGTTTATATATTCCTTTATCTCTTTTTTTCCATGTTCTGTAGTTTTCTGAGTACAGGTCTCTTATCTCCTTGGTTAACTTTATTCCTAATATCTTAATTTTTCTGTTGTAATGGTAAATGGGATTATTTTCTTAGTTTCTCTTTCTGATAGTTTGTTATTGGTGTATTAAAATGCCACTGCTTTCTAGATATTTTGTATCCTGCTACTTTGCCAAATTTATTTATTAGATCCAGTAGTCTTTTGGTGGAGACTTTAGGATTTTCTATGAACAATATTATGTCATCTGTGAATAACGACAGTTTTACTTTCTCCTTTCCAGTTTGGATTCCTTTTATTTCTTCTTGCCTCATCACTAGAGCTAGGACTTCCAGTTGAATAAGAGTGGTGAAAGATGACATCCCCATCTTGTTTCTGATCATAAGGTAAATGCATTCAGTTTTGGGACAGTGAGCATGATAATGGCTGTAGGTTTTTCATATATGTTATTATGTTGAGGTACAGCCCCTCTATTCCTACCTTACTGAGTACTTTTATTATACATGGGTGCTGGATTTTATCACATGCATTTTCTGCATCTACTGACATGATCGTGTGATTTTTACCTTTCTTTTTATGTGATATATCACATTTATTGATTTGCAGATATTGTACTAGCTTTGCAATCATGGAATAAATCCCACTTGATCATGATGTATGATCTTTTTAATGTATTGACTGATCTGGTTTGCTAATATATTGTTGAGGATTTTAGCATCTATGTTCATCAGGGATATTAGCCTGTAATTCTCTTTCTTTGTAGGGTCTTTATCTGATTTGGAATTAGGACAATGCTGACATTGTAAAAAGAGTTTGGAAGCCTCCCCCCTCTTGAATTTTTTCGGAATAATTTGAGGAGGATAGGTGTTAGTTCTTCTTTGAATGTTCAGTAAAATGTACCTGTGACGTTATCTGGTCCAGGACTTTTCTTTGCTGAAAGTTTTTTGTGTGTGTATGTTTTCTTTATTTTTTAAAAATATATTTTTATTGATTTCAGAGAGGAAGGGAGAGGGAGAGAGAAATAAAAACATCCATGATGAGAATCATTGATGGGATGTCTCCTGCACGCCCCACACTGGAGATTGAGCCCGCAACCTGGGTATGTGCCCTTGGCCAGAATTGAACCTGGGACCCTTTAGTCCTCAGGCTGATGCTCTATTCACTGAGCCAAACCAGCTAGGGATGGAAGTTTTTTATTACTGCTTCAATTTCATTAGTTGTGACTGGTCTATTCGTGTTTTCTGATTCTTCCTGATTCAGTTTTGGAAGATTGTATGTTTTTAGGTATTTGTCCATTTCACTCAGGTTGCCCAGTTTGTTGGCATATAGATGTTCATTGTATTTCCTTACAATCCTTTGTGTTTCTGTGATGTCAGTTGTTACTTTGCCTCTTTCATTTCTGATTGTATTTATTTGGGTTCTCTCTCTTTACTTGTTGGTGAGTCTGGATAAAGGCTCATCAATCTTGTTTATCTTTTCAAAGAACCAACTCTCCTTTTTATTTAAATTCTTTATTCTTTAAAGTATTACATGAGTCTCACCGCGCCCCCCGCCCCCCCCCCCCCCCGCCCCATTGTTCCCATTTGCATGGAAAATATTTTTCCATCTCTATACTTTCAGTATATGTATATATGAATCTTTAGTTCTGAGGTAGGTCTCTTGTAGACAACATATACTTGGGTCATGTTTTCTGATCCATTCAGCTATCCTATGTCTTTTATTGGAGTATTTAATACATTTACATATCAGGTTATTACTGTTAGGCACTTTTTGACATTTTTTTCTTTATACCTACATTCCTCTCTATATACATTTCTTCATCTTCATAACACAATCCCTTTAACATTTTTTGTAATGCTGGCTTGGTGGTAATGAATTCCTTTAGCCATTTTTGTTTGGGAAATTCTTTATTTTACCTTCAATTTTAATTATAGCCTTGCTGGATAGAGTAGTCTTGCTTTCAGGTCTTGCTTTTTATTACTACTTTGAATACTTCATGCCAATCTCTTCTGGCCTGGTTTCTGTTAAAAAAAAAATCACTGACAGCTTTATGGGAATGCCCTTGTGGGCAACAGTTTCTCTCTTTCTACCCTTAAGATTCTCTCTCTTTTTTTAAACCTTTACCATTTTAATTATGATATGTCTTGGTGTGGGTTCATCTTGATTGGGACTCTCTATGTTTCTTAAATTTATGTGATTTTCTTCCTTCACCAGGTTAGCAAAGTTTTCTGTCATTATCTGTTCAAACAGGTTTTCTATTCCTTGCTCATTTTCTTCTCATTCTGGTACCCCTCTGGTGAAGATATTATTACACTTCACGTTGTCCCAAAGTTCCCTTAAACTACCCTCATTTTTAATTTTTTAAAAATTTTTGTTGCTCTGATTTGGATACTTTATTCTCTTATCTTTTATATGTTTGATTTGATCCTCTACTTTATTGAACCTACTTCTAGTTCCTTCAAGTATATTCTTGATGTCAGATATGGTATTCTTCATTTCCAACTGGTTCTCATTCATGGTTTCTATGTCCTTTTTCATGCTGTAGTACCAAGCTCTCTGTAGTTTCCATTAAGTTCCTTGTAGTTCCCACTAAGTTCCTAGAGCAGGGGTCCTCAAATTTTTTAAACAGGGGGCCAGTTCCCTGTCCCTCAGACCGTTGGAGGGCCGGACTATAGTTTTTAAAAAAAAAAACTATGAACAAATTCCTATGCACACTGCACATATCTTATTTTGAATTAAACAAACAAAACGGGAACAAATACACTATTTGTATTTGCATGTGGCCCGTGGGCTGTAGTTTGAGGATCCCTGTCCTAGAGCATCCTTATAACCATTACTCTGAACTCTACATTTGACAAATTGCTTACCTCCATTTCATTTAGGTCTTTTCTGGAGATTGCTCCTTTTCTTTCATTTATGGCAGTGGTTCTCAACCTTCCTAATGCCATGACCCTTTAATACAGTTCCTCATGTTATGGTGACCCACAATTTCATTGTTACAAATTGAACATAATTAAAGCATAGTGATTAATCACAAAAACAATATGTAATTATATCTGTGTTTTCCAATGGTCTTAGGCGACCTCTGTGAAAGGGTCGTTCGACCCCCAAAGGGGTCGCGACCCACAGGTTGAGAACCGCTGATTTATGGGGCTGTCTCCCCACTTTAGCTGTATCTTTGCATTTGCTTCAAAGTATGAGATAAAACTGCCAGGATTCCCAGTCTCTGTGGGGTGGCCTTATGGGGTAAGTGTTCTGTGGCCCCCCGTGGTGCAGTCTCCTTGATCTCCTGAGCTGGATGTTCTAGAAATGTTCCCTGTGCAGCTTATTTGGGCTCTCCTGTTGCAATTGGTTCTTGATTATTGTTGACCCATAGTGGGTGGGATATCCCCTCAGGCTGGCTGACTGCGAGGCTCAACCCTAACCATGTCATGTGAGCTGTTGTACAGGTGCTGAAACAAAATAAAACAAAAACTTTCAAAAGAGAAAAAAAAACCCCACAAACAAACGGCAATAAAACCACCCACAAAAGAAAAGAGAATCAGGACAGAGAAAACAACAAGAATAATGAGAGGGGAAAAAAGAATATGAGAAGAAAAAATAAAAATAAAGAATAGGAAAAGGAAAACTGTTTTAAAAACTATTTTAAAAAATGTGGAGATTCTCTCAGCAGAGGTTAGTGTCTGTTGGGATCTCCCTGTGGATCCTGCTCTTATTTTAACTGAGACTGACTTTTGTATGCCGGTTCCGGGCCTCACAGAAGATAGCCAATGTCAGAAGCTGTCCACATTTGGTTCTCAGTACCCTGTTCAAAGCTTCAAGCCATCCATAGTTAGTGGCTGCGTCTGCTGGGCTGGGCATGTGCAGGAGGAGCCAAGCTGCACTCCAAGGCCCTCTTTTTAGCAGCACAGGCCCAGGGGCAGGTCAGCAAATGTGCCAAGGCACTTTGGGGTCTACCTCCACCCGCTTCTGCCTTTCCGACAGCGGGCAGACTTAGTTATTGAAAAAGCTATTTCTGAAAGGGCTTTTGGCAGAACTGGGAGGATAGGACCTGTGGGTCTCCTGTGACGGGTAGATGTCATTTAGACTTCAGGGAAGATCATCAGTGTGTTCTCCCCATTCCAGAGCCAACTGTCTGAATCCATCCCAGAATATTTCCCTTTGACAGGGCAGAGCCCCTCATAGGCAGTCAAGTGGGGTCTGCCAGAAGCTGGAAGTAGCTATAAGCTCTCCTGTGAGGAGAAAGCACTAGTCAGGTTCCTAGGAAAGTTCCTAGGAATGGCCCCCTCCACAGCCAGTCACTGATGCCCCCTGAGACTGCCCAGATGCTTAGGCTTTGCCTCTGCTGCTGCCTCCTCAGCAGTGGAGAGATGTAGGGTGGGGCAAACAGGATTCCTGAGGGCGGGGTGAGTTGCATCCCAGAAGGCCAGGTTCCTTTGGCTGCTGCTGCTGCTGCTGGGAGGGGCTTGTGCCTCTTAGAAAAATAGTTGCTGCGGCATCAGGGTGGGTAGTGAAGTGCAGGTATCCCAGTAGCTGCTCTCCCACGTTTCTCCCCAATGCCTCCCACCCCAGACTCTCCTCAGGTGACTCCAGTCCACACCACCCTTCCTCTGCCAAAGCTCAGGTGAGTGGCTGCAAAACAAAATTCCTTGTCCTGGCCCTTTAAAAAAAAAAAGGGTTTTGTCTCCAGCAGGCTCCACCGCTCCCTGGCAGATAGATGCCCTGCGCTTTTCATGGCTGGATGCGACATGGGCAGCTCTTCCTGGTCCTGGTGCTCTGCACGGGGGAGCCCAGCCTGGGGTCCAGCCTCACTTCTCTCAGGGGAAACCACCCCGCTTCCCTGCAGCCAAGATACATTCCCACAGCCCTCAGCCTGCTGCCCTTGGGAGCAGGGCCACCCTCTCACAGCCTCTCCCTTCCTGCCCGTCTCCAGGTGATTTCTGCTCTTCCTTGTGTCCCCTCTTCAGCTAGTCTTTCGTGGGTAATTCAGGGTGAATGTTCCCCAATTTAGTTTTATTTCCAGTTTGGTTCTAGACGAGGTGCGAGACAGATCCACCTACTCTGCCGCCATCTTGAAAACTGGCAGTAGTAGCGAATTAAGTCTTCCTTGCCAATTTAATTGGGCCAGCACAATTTTTCCTTAACATTTTCACAACACATCTGAAATTCTCTTTTGGGTCCTTGTCTAGGGCACAATTATCCCAACAAGTTGTGACTTTTCTTTACCAGTAAATGCATGCATGTTCCTATTGCCTGATGCATTTACATGGTTGTGTCCCTTCTGCACAAAGACCATCCTAGAAGTTCACCCATTTCCCAGCCTAACCCTTCCCTATCCTCAACCCAATGAGGCCTGCTGACTCCACAGGGGTCTCACCTCTGGAGTCGCTGATGCCAAACCTCCTTAGCCACAGCCAGGCCTGCCTCCTTAGGTTTCTCAGCTGCAGGTTTTATCACACGTGAGAAAAGGTGCCTGAGTGTAGAGGAAGAAAGGTTTTCCTC